TCAAGAACCTAAATGACTCTTCTCTCTAGTTTTATAAATGATCTTCATGGAGCACCTAGAGTCAAACTCCCTTGAAACTGTTGAGCACTTATTTCTATGAGTGAATCATCTTCATTGGTTTGAACCCCAAAGTTAATGACATTCTCATCATTTCGATCATAGCTCTCTTGAACCAATTCCCTATCACATAGGTAGTTAAGATCCATCCTTTCTTCTTTGATTGGCATGTAAAGTAAACTTGGAATTCCATAACTAGAATGAAGGACTAGCTCATCCTGCTCACTAGGAGAACCACCATGGAAGGCTATATGATTTTCATCATTTGTTGTCTTCATACTTGTCGACATTTATTCTCACAACTTTTCAATTATTCTCACAAGTTTTGAACCGTTGGATACTGATTGGGGAGACAACGAGTTAATTTGTAAAGATAATGAATTGAAAATATGTAAGCCCACATATTGATGTCTCATTTCACCGTTCAAGTATCATTACAAAGTACCACAATTAAGAATTTATTGTATAGATTCGGATTCATGTACTGGTGAGTCCAACTTATCATTGAACTTTATTCTTTGGATACGTATTTTCAAATTAATTTCAAGCTCAGGAACACCGCTTATTACCGTTGACAACCAATTGCAACCATCATACCACACTGGTGATCGACTGTCTATATGCCGACCAATTTCTGGCCCTGTAGGTTGGAATTCGAGGGGTTGGTACCTGTTTGGAAGTAGTGGAAAGTGGTTCAGCGGTAGAGAGGAATATTTTTTTTTGGGAATTGGTGGAGAGGAATAAGATAGTTATAGATTTTATCAAAATTATTGGATATTTCGATAAAAAAAATATAAGATAAATATATTAAACTTTTGTACAACCATCAAAATTGATTATATGAAAAATTAAGGTTAACTAGAAAACACATCAAAACTGTATAGTAAAAGTATGAAAATTATACCAAAATAAAGAAATATATGAAAAACTCTACTATAATTAACGAAAGATCCATCAAAATAATAAGGGATATGGTTTCCGTAAACGCACATGTACGGTTTCACGCTATCCTAATGACTTATTTGGACAAGTCTCATCTCGTACATCGGAATGACTCTAAATCTTGGTATCACTTATAAGATATATAATGAATATTTCAAGCCCAAAAGGAGGGAATAAACATCTACCTATGGCTCCGTAAACCTACATGTACAGTTTCAAGCAATCTTGATGGCCCATATGGACAAGTATCATCTCGTACATCGGAATGGCTTGAATTCTTGGTATAACTTATAATATATATAATGAATGATTTCAAGCTCAAATGGAGTAAACAAACACATTCCTGTGACTCCGTAAACCCTCATGTACGGTTCAAGCTATCCTAATAGCCCATATTGATAAGTCTAATTTGGTATATTGGAATGGCTCTAAACTTTGGTATAACTTATAAGATATATAATGAATGATTTCAAGCCCAGAAGAAGGGGATAAACACATGCCTATCACTTCATAAACCCACATGTACAGTTTCAACCAATCTTGATGGCCCATATGGACAAGTCTCATCTCGTACATCGGAATGACTCAAATTCTTGGTATAACTTATAACATATATAATGAATGATTTCAAGCCCAAATGAAGTAAACAAACACATTCATATGGCTCCGTAAACCCTCATGTACGGTACAAGCTATCTTAATAGCCCATAAGGATAACTCCCATCTCGTACATCAGAATGTCTCTAACGAAGCATGAAACTGCACGGTGCCTAAGACAGGCGGCGAGGATGATCTAGGCAGCGGCGGACGGCTTAAAACCTGCAAGACAGAGCCTCGGGTGTCTTCCAAGGGTAGACTCTCCGATGCTTAACTCGGTAAAGGAATAGAGAGAGTAGAGAAAGAAGGATGTGTATCGTGTGTAGAAGATGTAGAAGATAGGTAGAAGATGTCAATTATGGGAGAGGCACCACCTCTTTATATAGAGGTGGTGTTACCTGTTTCCTGAAACCCTAGCGGAATAGGTTTAGGCGGTGGTTTAATCTCTAAGTAACCTATTCCTAGGCCCAATAGGCCTAGGGTTTTTTTTGGACTCGTCAAGTGCCCCTAGCAAGCCATATTCTCGAGACTTGATGAGAAGGATATGGGTTACTACGAGTGTTGATGTCTTCTCATGGTGTTGCCCCAGTTCTCGGGTGTCACCTATGGAAAGATAAAGAGAATATAATACCTCGAGGAGGTCTTTGCATTAATGAGTTCTTGATTGGCAGGGGGAAGCCTGTGTATGCCGAATTAGAAGGATGACGCCTAGATTCTCTTATTTGAAGGTGAGAAGCCTATAGTGCCTTTCGTGCAGGTCTTGTGGCTGTGCCCATCTAGTAGGTCTTATTTGGCCGTTGACCGACTAGAAGGTCTTTGTGGGTCGTGCCCGACTAGCAGGTTTTATTTAAACCCGGTGCCCGACTAGCAGGTCTTTGTGGGTCGTGCCCGACTAGCAAGTCTTATTTAAACCCGGTGCCCGACTAGCAGGTCTTTCGATTCCTTTCTGATGGTGGGTGGTCCCCAATGTCTGATTTGAAGGGTGGCCCCTATATGTTTGGATGCTCGATATGTAATAATATGATGTATGTATCAAAAAGATATTGTCATATGATATAAATAATATGTTTATAACAAGAATAGCAGTTTATAGGCTTAGATTCGAGAAGCATAGGTAGAAAAGATTTGAGAAGTACCTTGATTTCCAGTTAAATTGATTACTCGAGAAGGTGTTACCTCGATTCTGAGAAGGTATTATTTGGGTAGATGAAAGTCAAGATACGTCTTCTCGAATACTTCGAGTAGTAGTGAGGTACTCGAGGGATGCTTGCCCCTTCGAGGAGATGTATCTCTCGAAACTCCAATCTTCGAAATTGCCCCTTGCTAATTGTTCTTCTCGATCAGCTGTGGAGCAAGTGCAGCTTTTCGATTATTTGTGAAACCGAAAGCTTCTTTGTGCTACTTGTCGGCTGACATCTTCTTGGCCAAACAAAGATAATTTTTTGCGTGATCTTCTTGTTGCAAAATCAGATCAACGAATTAACATCGTGGCTGCGAAAGATACAAAAGATTCCGTTCTTCGCTAAGAAATTTATTTGGTGGTGAAGACCAAACAAATCGGTCCCACTGGGCGTGTCACTTGACGAAGCATGGAACTGCACGGTGCCTAGGACGGGCGGCGATGATGATCTAGACGGCGGCGGACTGCTTAAAACCTGCAAGACAGAGCCTCGGGTGTCTTCCGAGGGTAGACTCTCCGATTCTTAACTCAGTAAAGGAATAGAGAGAGTAGAGAAAGAAGGATGTGTATCGTGTGTAGAAGGTGTAGAAGATAGGTAGAAAATGTCAATTATGGGAGAGGCACCACCTCTTTATATAGAGGTGGTGTTACCTGTTTCCTGAAACCCTAGCGGAATAGGTTTAGGCGGTGGTTTAATCTCTAAGTAACCTATTCCTAGGCCCAATAGGCCTAGGGTTTTTTTTGGACTCGTCAAGTGCCCCTAGCAAGCCATATTCTCGAGACTTGATGAGAAGGATATGGGTTACTACGAGTGTTGATGTCTTCTCATGGTGTTGCCCTAGTTCTCGGGTGTCACCTATGGAAAGATAAAGAGAATAAAATACCTCGAGGAGGTCTTTGCGTTAATGAGTTCTTGATTGACAGGGGGAAGTCTGTGTATGCCGAATTAGAAGGATGACGCCTAGATTCTCTTATTTGAATGTGAGAAACCTATAGTGCCTTTCGTGCAGGTCTTGTGGCTGTGCCTATCTAGTAGGTCTTATTTGGTCGTTGCCTGACTAGAAGGTCTTTGTGGGTCGTGCCTGACTAGCAGGTCTTATTTAAACCCCGTGCCCGACTAACAGGTCTTATTTAAACCCGGTGCCCGACTAGCAGGTCTTTCGGTTCCTTTCTGATGGTGGGTGATCCCCAATGTCTGATTTGAAGGGTGATCCCTATATGTTTGGATGTAATAATATGATGTATGTATCAAAAAGATAGTCATATGATATAAATAATATGTTTTTAACAAGAATAGCAGTTTATAGGCTTAGATTCGAGAAGCATAGTTAGAAAAGATTTGAGAAGTACCTTGATTTCCAGTTAAATTGATTACTCGAGAAGGTGTTACCTCGATTCTGAGAAGGTATTATTTGGGTAGATGAAAGTCAAGATACGTCTTCTCGAACACTTCAAGTAGTAGTAAGGTGCTCGAGGGATGCTTGCCCCTTCGAGGAGATGTATCTCTCGAAACTCCAATCTTCGAGATTGCCCCTTGCTAATTGTTCTTCTCGATCACCTGTGGAGCAAGTGCAGCTATTCGATTATTTGTGAAATCGAAAGCTTCTTTGTGCTACTTGTCGGTTGACGTCTTCTTGGCCAAACAAAGATAATTTTTTGCGTGATCTTCTTGTTGCAAAATCGGAGCAACGAATTAACACCGTGGCTGCGAAAGATACAAAAGATTCCGTCCTTCGCTAAGAAATCTATTTGGTGGTGAAGACCAAACAAATCGGTCCCACTGGGCGTACCACTTGATGAAGCATGGAACTGCACGGTGCCTAGGACGGGCGGCGATGATGATCTAGGCGGCGGCGGACGGCTTAAAACCTGCAAGACAGAGCCTCGGGTGTCTTCCGAGGGTAGACTCTCCGATTCTTAACTCAGTAAAGGAATAGGGAGAGTAGAGAAAGAAGGATGTGTATCGTGTGTAGAAGGTGTAGAAAATAGGTAGAAGATGTCAATTACGGGAGATGCACCACTTTTTTATATAGAGGTAGTGTTACATGTTTCCTGAAACCCTAGCGGAATATGTTTAGGCGGTGGCTTAATCTCCAAGTAATCTAATCTTAAGCCCAATAGGCCTAGGGTTTATTTTGGACTCGTCAGTCTCAAAGCTTGGTACAACTTATTATAAAGTAAATTCTAAAGAGTGGTGGCCACTTCCCCATTTTTCGTTCGACCACCCACTCCCACGTGTGACTTTCGTTCAACCTCCTTCGCACGAGTCCAGTCTCCGGTTTACTTCGACCGGCCTGCCTTTTCCATCCTTCGAAACACAAATTGAAAGCTATGATGCCCTTGACCCTGAATTAAGAAGTATCCTTAATGTTTTGCAGGGGAATGGGAGGTCCAATTTTTGTATATGTGTAGGGAAAATAACCTATGCGCTGATACTCTGGCTAAACAAGCCTCAGATGTACTTAGATGTACATAGGGGTGTATGTTTTTTTGATGATCCCCCAGGCTCTATAGCCTTGTTAGTAGAGGCTGAATTGGTTTCACCCTCTGTTTTGTATATGTAATCTGAGTTTAGCCGCCAGGCTAAACGGTTTACCAAAAAATTGAAAAAAATTGCTCCAACGTGTACCTCCGTCCAACGTGTTTTCGACCGCAGCGAATTTGTCTTCTTCTCTTGTCATCTTCCTTCCAAGGCGGAGTCGCACGTGAAGGAGTCCCTCCCCCTTGTAACCGGCGGATTTCAACGCTTGCCCGAAATGGTGGGTTATGGAATTATTGTCTGCTGGATTCTTGTGTGCTATCTTCGGAGTTTATTCAAGAATACCATGTCCTGGAATTTGGCAATCCTTATAGTGCTGATAATGTTCTTCACATTTCTTACTTCGTCTATACCGTTCTGCAGATCCGGCCATCTACTGTTGCAAGGTAATCATATCTAATCTGTAATTTTTAGCTTTCTGGCTTCACGTTTTTGGATCCCTGCATCTTTGGGAATTGAACCATCTTTGTTGTCTGAAACGTTATATTCGTCGTTACTCATCTACTGCAATGCCCTTTGTTCTTTTTTTGTTGTTTAAATTGCTACGAGAGTCTTCCGTTCAACCAGATTGAATACCTCGTCCTATGCATTTTACTGTTTGTCCCTCTAATTCGTGAAAAAATGAATTCTTTAATCACTGCTTCAAATGAATTCATTTAATGGTGGAGATGTCAGTCTTTAGTAGCTTCCATCCCTATGAGAATGGGTTTTTTCGTTCTCTGCTTCAAAATAATTAATTCAGTGATAACGATGTCAGGATTTGGTAGCTTCGTCCTTCTGCTTATAAGCAGTGTATTTTCCATGGATAGAAACTTTTTGATTTTTTTTTATAGCCCTTCTTTTAAGTTAAACTTTCAATCATTAGATCTGTTCCTCGATGTACAGTGAAACACAATGTGAAAAGAGTGAAACACTACACAAACTATATGCAAACTTTATGCAAACTATTTTTTTTTAATATTTTCTAGATCCTTCTTCGTTATTCGTTGTTTTGGTTACCCTGTTATTTGATCATTTGTAGAATGTGCTTTTGATGGTTTTTTTCTTTTCCGTCTGCTCGTTCTTGGTTGCTTTCTTCCCTTCTTCACAAATGTATTCCTGTTTAGGCCTCCTGTTTCTTGGCTTTTTCTAAAGTCTTCTCCTTTGATTACCCTCTTCAATATCCAGTTTGGTTCTTCTTTAAATATTTCTGTTACCATGTTTTTCCAGCTGCTAGTTGTTGTTTTGCGCGTGTGCTTTGTTGGTCCCTTTGCTTTCAGATCCGTGCTCTTCCTCCATCTGCAACTCAAGTATGTTCAGCTGTTGCACTTTCACATATGCCATTGAAAAACTTCTTATGATTTGCTCTTTTTTCTCGCCCACTCTTTTTTAGTTTTTAGCTCTATATAAATTTATGGTTGCATCTGGTAGTTGGTGTCCTGTGAATGTCTTCATTGATTTCCAAATGTGTTTCTTTTAGTTTGTGTTGTTGTTGTTGACTTTTTATACATGCGCTCGCGTGTATTCTTCCTGCGTTTCTTCGTGCACGTCCCGTACATGCTATTTAGTAATGTAGTTCCGCATCCCTTATTGCTTCCTCTAAAGATATGGAGGGATCTCCGGTGCCTGTGTAAAATGTTACTCTCTGAGTTCCAGTGGCGTGCAGACTGCCACTAAAAGAAAACGGAACAATAGATACTGTGACGCATCTAGCGTTGAATCCTCCGCTTTACTGGCTACGTTTAACATCCCCGGGGCTCTTGTCGCCCCCAAAACTGATAAGGTTGCTGAGAAAAAGGTGCGCAGGTGGGGGCTATGCCCGACGTGTTTCAGATATGTCAGCAGAAAAGAAACAGCAAATCCTTGCTCGTAGAAGGAATTATATGCTCTGAAAAAAGAAAGGGGATGCAGTGGCGATGTGACTCGTCTTGTAAATACTGTTTCTTGCAACAGTACTCCCCTTCTTGTCGCTTCTCCTTTGACACGACTTCAGAATTTCCCTTGCGCTTCTGAAGCACCCTTGCAACAAAATCCCGCCTTGGCTGGTTATTCCTCATCGGCATGCCAACCAACAACTAAGACTGTCGGCCCTGTTGTTGCTCCAGCATCCATTCATGTGGCTGGTGTATATCAGTCCATGGATAGTCCCAAAAACTCTCACGTTAGTGATGGTATTCACGCGTTCTCCCCTTCTTTCTTTGTGAACTTGTTAGGTCTTCATGCTCTCCCGTTTTTTTCACTCTCTAATTTACTATCGGAACAGCAGTTCGTGCCATTCCTTCTGCTTCACAGTCTGATTCTCCTGGCACCTCTTCCTGGCCTGGTTCCTTGGGTGGTCCCAACTCATGGTCTCCCAGGAAATCCCGCCCGGTGAATCGCACATCAGGTTTGCCTTTTCTCTCTGCTTAGCTTATTATGCTCTTTATTTGTCCTACTGCTTTTCAACGCACTTAAGTGCGCTCTATTCTTTGACAATGTAGCCGCTTCATGTCAGCCACAGCGAGCTATACGCTCAAAGAGGAAACAACTTCCTGGTCTGAAGCAGACTTCACTGCATCTTGTTCTGCTGGCCAGTCTTCTCAAGTTCCAGGTGTCCAGGAGAGTGTTCAGTCGTATGATTCAGCTAACCTTTTTCCACTTAGCTCAGAAGGTAACCTCACTACTTGTTGCATCTTTCAACCATTTTTTTATGCTTTGCTCTTCGCTTATGTACATCACTATTGATAACAGAATATAATCAGGAGGCCACAACAAGTATGTGCTTGGATTCAAACCTTGTAGCAACTGGTCCTGTGGAGACAGATTACACGAGTGATGATCGCAAGGCGAAGCGAGAGAGGACAGCATAAAGATTGTCTTGTTTCATGAAGATTGACAAATACTTTTGAGAACCCATATTTGTTGGTCCTTTTTATTCAATGCTGATCTTATGTCTTTAAGCTTTGGAACTTTGTAGACGTGGTTTTGGGTCAATTCTTTTGTTCTTGAATTGCAACCATACCATGCTTTTGTGCTTTTGAACTTTTGCACTTGTTGAAGTTTGTATTCCGATTCTGTCCGACAGAACATGTCATGCTTGGTTTGTTTTATGGATCTAGTTTCTTTTTAATTTGTTCATTTTCCTTGTATTTTATTATTTGCCTAGATTACTGGTATTTATAAATTTCAAATTAGGCTGGAAAAGTTTAATTAACGCAAGTCCATATATACACACAAGTACAACTCCAAATTTATACTACCATTTACATAACGAGCATGTAATTCTCCGCCCATTGCACGGAGCAGTTATCTGTTAGTAAAATATATAATGAATGATTTTAAGTCCAAATGGAGTGAACAAACACATGCCTATGGCTCCGTAAACCTACATGTAGGGTTTTAAGCTATCCTAATGGCCCATATGAACAAGTCTCATCTCGTATATCGGAATGGCTCCAAACCTTGGTATAACTTATAAGATAAATAAATGATTTCAACCCCAAATGGAGCGAATAATCATATGCCTATTGCCCCGTAAACCCACATGTGCAGTTTCAAGCTATCCTAATGGCCCATATGCGCAATTCTAGTCCGTACATCGGAATGACTCCAAACCTTGCTAAAACCTATAAGATATATAATGAATGATTTCAAGCCCAAATGGAGGGAATAAACACATGGCTATGGCCCCGTAAACCCACATGTACTGTTTTAGGCTATCCTAATGGTCCATGTGGACAAATCTCATCTCGTACATCGCAATGACTCCAAACCTTGGTATAACTTATAAGATGTATAATAAATGATTTCAAGCCCAAATGGAGTGAAGAAACACATTCCTATGGCTTCATAGACCTACATGTACGGTTTCAACCTATCCTAATGGCCCTTGTGGACAAGTCTCATCTCGTACTTCAGAATGGCTCCAAACCTAGGTAAAAGTTATAAGGTATAGAATGAATGATTTCAAGCCCAAATGAAAAAACAAACACATGCTTATGGCTCTGTAAACCCATGTGTACGGTTTCAAGCTATTCTAATGGCCTACATGGGCAAGTCTCATCTCGTACCTCGGAATGGCTATAAACCTTGGTATAACTTATAAGATATATAATGAATGATTTCAAGTCCAAATAGAGGGAGAAAACACATGCCTATAGCTCCAAAAACTGACATGTACGGTTCCAAGCAATTCTGATGGCCCATATGGACAAGTCTCATTTCGTAAATCAGAATGGCTCCAATCCTTGGTATAACTTATAATATATATAATGAATGATTTAAAGCCCAAATTTAGAGACCAAATATATGCCTATGGCTCCGTAAACTCACATGTACAGTTCAAGCTATCCTAATGGGCCATATGGACAAGTCTCATCTCGTATATTGCAATGGCTCCAATCCTTGGTATAACTTATAAGATATATAATGAATGATTTTAAGCCCAATTGGACTGAACAAACACATGCCTATGCTCCCGTAAACCAACATGTCTGGTTTAAAGCTATCCTAATGGCCCATATGGACAATTCTCATCTCGTACATCGGAATGATTCCAAACCTTGGTATAACCTATTGGATATATAATGAATAATTTCAAACCCAAATGGATGGAATAAACACATGTCTATCACTCCGTAAACCCACATGTACGGTTTCAAGCAGTCGTGGTGGCCCATATGGACAAGTCTCATCTTATACAATGGAATGGCTATAATCCTTGGTATAACTTATTATATATATAATGAATGATTTCAAGCCCAAATGGAGTAAACAAACACATGCCTATGGCTCTATAAACCTACATGTACGGTTCAAGCTATTCTAATAGCTCACATGGATAAGTCTCATCTCGTACATCGGAATAGCTCAAAACTTTGGTAAAACTAATAAGATATATAATGAATGAGCCTAAATGGAGTAAACAAACACATACCTATGGCTCTGTAAACCCACATGTACGGTTCAAGCTATCCTAATGGCCAATATGGACAAGTCTCATCTCGTACATCGGAATGGCTCTAAACCTTAGTATAACTTATAAGATATATAATGAATGATTTCAAGCCCAATTGGATGGAATAAACACATGCCTATGTTATAGCAATCTCGTAGATGAAACAAATTTCGTTAATGCAACCATCAAACAAGAAAGTACGAAGATAATTTGTCTATCCCGTGAAACCCAAAAGAGCCCGGAAAATTCACAGTAACACGATCGTTTATCTAAAGATTTCTATTTCTTAACTCAAACCAAGCAAAGAACACATAATCTATAAAAGATTGAAATTAAACAACAACCCACACTAAGAATAGTAAGGACACCATTCAATATACTCGATCAATCATCACTCAAGAGACTCAAGAAAGGTATGAGCAAACAATACTCAACTATGAAGCAATACTATTGATTAGTAATCTCCATAACCAACAAAGATATGCAACACATACACTATCTCAAAATGGTTATGCCAAAGCACAACTCATCCAACAAAAGTAGGACAAACCCCACAATGGAACTCATGAACACACACATCATGAATTTGAACACCAAGCCAAGAGAAAGGCTCATCAATCGAACTACTAGAAGTAGTATGAAAATAAGAAGTTTAGTTTTAAAACAATTCTAACAAGAAGCATACTTGAAAAAGAACGGTTTCTGCAAGATCAAAAAATCCAAGACAAGATGAAAACCCTCTTGGTAGAATCATACTTGACACGAAAAATGGACACACCATTTAACAAAAATTCCTCAAAGGAAAAACTCTCATTACAGACAACAAAAATGACCACTCAAGGGTGCTTTAATTTTCGGCCATCCTACCCTATTTATAGGCTATTAATTTCGGCCAGCACCAAAAAAGAAGACCAACTAGGACTCTCTAATCTTATCTCACGCAGGGTTAGATGTAGAAGAGTATTTGATCTCTTTGACTCTATCTAAAATCTAGGAAACCTTATCTAAATGACTTATCCTCAAATAGGATAATACTAAGAAGGAATCTAAGACTCCTAATCAAAACACTCTAGTTTAATTCAGTCCACATGACTTATTTAAAAGATACAATTCAAAAATTAAACTCCTAGACTAGATTATACTCTAAATCCGAAATTCAGCTCCAAATATTGAAGTAAAATGTCTTGAACGCCCTTTCAAAAGTAGAATATTGGTCTTGCGCCCTTCAAGTTGTAGATAACTCCAATTTACTCCAAAACTTGTAGAATACTCTTTATTGACTCCAAAAGAATGGAAAAACACTTGAAACAATTGAGATAGTTTGCACCCTATCTAATTGTGTAGCAATGGACTCTGTCTTGAACAATTTGATCAAATAAGCCATCCATTCAAGAACCTAAATGACTCTTTTCTCTAGCTTGATCAATGATCTTCATGGAGCACCTAGAGTCAAACTCCCTTGATACTCTTGAGCACTTATTTCCATGAGTGAATCATCTCCTTTGGTTTGAACCCCAAAGTTAATGACATTCTCATTATCTTGATCATAGCTCTCTTGAACCAACTCCCTATCACATAGATAGTCAAGATCCATCATTTTTTCCTTAATTGGCCTGCAAAGTAAACTTGGTATTCCAAAACTAGAATGAAGGACTAGCTAATTCCCCTCACTAGGAGAACCATCATGGAAGGCTATATGATTCTCATCATCCCCTCCTTCTTTAAGAGGATTCGTCATCTAATTACCAACCTCTAAACCTGCACAAGGAACAAACGAGATATAAGGGTTAGTAAAATCCTCACCCTCATCACACTTTGATTTTCCCTCATTGCGTGCATCTTTTTTTGTTTCCACGCTATTTTCATGATTTTCTCTCGCCTCAAGTCTTACCTCAGCGTGACCCTTTTTACTTTCTTGTGTCACTCTCTCGACTTTTTCTCTCCCATGTGTATAGGTTATCTTACGTCTTTTCTCTCGCACATACTTAGTTTCTTCATAAGCCAAAGGCTTATAGTTTTTGTCCTAATTTAGTAAAGACAAAAATATTCTTCGAGCAATCGTGCACAACATCTACATCTGATTGCTAAGGCGTACCTAGCAGAATATCACAAAGAGACATAGAAATTACATCAAAGTAAATTTCATCCCTATACTCACCAACTTGAAAAGATACCATGGCCTTCTTAGTGGCATCCACAACCATCTCTTCGCTCAACCATGGAAGCTTGTATGGTCTAGTATGCGGATCCATCTTGATTCCGTTTGCTATGCAAAATTCCTCACTTATACAATCAGTACTCGATCCACCATCGATTACCAAATCAACTTCATTGGACCACCCAACCGAACACTTAGTACTGAAGATACATGTCTGTTGATCACCATCTTCAGTGCCAAACACCAACCCTCGATCCTCAATTGGACCATTCCAACCACAAGAAGTATCATGCTCTCTCTCAACTTCTAAGGTAGCGTAGTATGCCTCATAGAGCCTTGATTGCCTCCTTATCTTTGGGTGTTGTTTATACCCCTTGTCCAAGCCATAGTGGAAACGATCAGTCAACATATAGTCGTTCTCATCCACACCCGAACTCAGGAGCACGCCTTCTAACTCTTCAAACTAAGATTGAACAGATATACCAATTCAAAGCACTAGAACGAAAACAACCTACAGCTAAGGCTATTTCCTCACTCTCTTTCTCAATGTTAAGCAATACAAACAAATTCTCTATGCTCTTTTCCCAAGTATCATAGTCTCTATGGCAACCATAAAATAAAGGCAATGACACTTTCAACGTTCCAGCATACGAGGGTACTTGTTTTACTTCAAAACGATCACATAAGACTCTTAAATTTTCAGCAATTTTCTCAAAACTTACCATAGCTTTATCTAGCTGATTTGAAAGCAATTGAGACAAGTCTCGGTTTGCCTCCTTAACCTCAGCCAAAGCATCATGTAGGAAGTTAATTTGACTCTTCATGAGCTGTACTTGAGCCTTCATGCGACCCTCTACACTCTTTGAAGCGATTTGAGTACAACCAGCAACTCCGGGTGACATCTTTGCTCAACAACTTTGAGAAACCACCAACAAAAGAAGTAATGTGCCTTTGTTACTACACAAAAACTCCTTGAACCCTTGAACCAATAGATGGCTCGGCCGAAACCCCCCAA